TACGATCATAAAGGTGCTTAGCTTTGCATTTCCCAATTTATTCAAACAATGATATTATACTAAACTATTACTCATGTAAGATTTATTAGCGGAGTTCGCAAGGCTAAAATTTGTTAAATGTTTTATTCCCCAAAATCGTTAATTATTATAACGAAGGATTCAGATATTTTTTCTCCGCCTTTTTATATAAAAAATCAAGATCAGAATTTATTTATAGACTTGGGCGGGAAAGGACGAGAAATTGCCAGAACTTTTTATTGCAAAGTAGGCCTATAGGGACGACTCAGGTACGTAAGTACCTTTTTTCCAAAATAAGAGTCATGGGTGCCCCCACGCTTTACGTGTTAATTAGATCAATGAATGTCTGCTCTTGCCATATTGATATCAGCAATCGGACTTCTGTTATTCGTATCACCAATTTTAACAATTATTACAAATCAATTGATCTTTTAACTAACCTGATTAATTTTTTTTTATAATAGTCTTGCTTTGATCTGCGTACGGAAGTACCAAAAAGTATCTCCCGGATTTACCGAGTTAATGCGTGACCTGTAATTATTGGGGTTCCCTGATTGTTACTATTGATTGCGTAACACAGATGTTCGATCAGGCATTACTTCGTAATACACATCACATGCTATACCACAGAATAAAATCGAAGGTCGTGGAACTTTTTATGCATGATGTAATCGTGTGACCTGTTTATTGTTATTGTAAATTCCAAATCTGATTGTCTAACTCGTGACATATGTGAAAAGTTTTTCGCTGTGCATTTGCATCGCTCCAGTTCCACATTCCCCGAATCTACCATTCCCGTACCTATATCGCGTCTTTTTTCGATCCATCATTATTTATAATGTCAGCAAAACAATATCCCGGTCGAACAGGCAAGTATTAATTCAAAATGTATGAAAAAACCTTATTAGGTACTAATCGATCTTATTGCTTTCAATAGCACTCGAGACTTACTTAACCAGAACTGCAGTTAGTTCTGTGTCATACTTGGAGTTTTTGGAATCGAACCGTTCTTTAATTGTCAAAACACCTCCGTTGACGGAAGATTGGAGAGGACTCAATGGTGCGTGGTACAACCGATACTTGCAAACATCAAAAAGATTAAACTTACCACCAACGGTGCTAGTCGCAGAAGAGGTAAGTATGTTTCGATTTAGCTGACCATAGGGCGCCTCTTGACAGGTTTTACCTGAATCCAGAGTATAGGTATATTTTCCTAGCCCAAGTAATAGTGAAGGGCACCTCTTGACAGGTTTTACCTGAATCCAGAGTATAGGTATATTTTCCTAGCTCTCACTATTTGCGTTCTGGTCTATTTTATTTTATTATAAACTCTTTATTATATCACTTGCTATTCATTTTATACATTATTTCATTATTTTTGACAGGATACTCGTTCGTATTGGGAAGGAGTGATAGATGAATGCAAGAAGGCAGGTGAAAATCCTTTATTTGTGCACATGTTAGTTTATGGCTAAACACAAGCAAAACCATCAAACTGTCATTATAGAATCGTGTAAAAAGAACTATTCAATCAAAAACAATTGATATATACCAAGCTGTGGGGGAGAATGTTGGTGATGAAATAGTGGACGAATGCCAACAATCATCGAAAAGACTCAAGGAGGATGAACAAGGACAATGTAACGGAACTTTAAACATTGAATCAAAAAAGAGAAAATCTACTGAAATTGACAAGTCAGATTCTACTAGAATCGATAAGTCAGACACTACAAAAATTGACAAGTTAAATGCAACCAATATTACTAAAAACAATGAAGATATCTGCGATATCACTGATGGTGAACAAGTCGTAAGTTAAATATTTATTCTATTTTTCTTGCGTTTTTTTTTTGTATTGTGCTGTGTAATTAATTTACCTTCTTTGCCTTTTTGTTGGATGCACTGATAGGAAAAACATAATCTTGAGAAAAGCTGGGAGTTTGAACAACCAATTCCTGACTGGCTCAGGCAAATTCATCAACATCGTGAAAATCTCACCACCAAAACTGACTTAACTGACTTTGAATCACTGTCTCGGGTAACAGAAACGTAAGTTCACAATTATATGATTTTTTGTTATAATCAAAATATATGATTCTGAAATCTTTCTATTATTAGTGCCATTTGGTGGCATATCATTGACACATGTGATCCGAAATTAACTGGAATTATTATGGAATGAGAGTTTTTAAACCTAAGCGAGAGTTTACTTTCTAATCTTCCATTGGACTGGGAAGTGTTAGAACCACCAGTTGAAAGATGCTTGCACTCAATTGCAAGAGTGAGTAATTATGTTAAGTACCTTTATGCACTTTTTTGATTCATAAACTCAACCTTCGTGCAATTTTCTTCCAGTTGGATAAGAAAGGATTAAAGAAGGTGGCCAAAACTGTAATACATCATGGTGTTTGTGGAGCTATAAATAAGATTTGAAAGACTTTGACTACTGCAAACAAAGTCGAAGATGAAAATCCTTTCCTTGACTCCCCACCTACTGAAATCACAACTGCCGATAATGTTGTTCAAGATGGAGATTATAAACACCCAGATGTCTGTTACATTATTGAACTTCTTCGTTATACGTAAGTATGGGAATTTTTACATGTAACTAATATTTTGAAATAACTGAATACTCATGTGAACTAGGCACAATATGATTGATAGAAAAATACCGCAACAGGAAAATTCAGAACGGGATATTGATGTAATTTTCAAGTCCCACTTGTTTTCTTGTTTTGATGACATTATGGACTCGCATTTGTAAGTTCAAACTGCAGATTTTACATGATCATATTTTAATATATTGAAATTTATTATATGCTTTCAATTTTTACTGGTATATTATGAACCTTTTCAATATTATTGACTAGTGGAGAGATGGTTTCCAGAGCTTCACAACAACGCCATACTCAAGCAGTTGGTGCTTCTGATAAAGCAGAAGGTTATCACTTAGATTGGCTTTTTACGGTATGTATGTTGTAATCCATTATCGTGAATAACAAACTTTAATAATTGCTAACAATTCTTGTTTATAGAAACACAATCTTGCAAAAGACCTTACATGGGGGAGAGAATTCTCACTGTGTGAAAGAGCAGGTTCAAAAATTGAAAACGGTAGAAAAATTCTTGATAACACTCTCAAAGTACAGAAAACATTGTGAGATATGCATCAGGTGTTATTAGAAACCTTGTCTAACGCAGGTGGTGGAGGTGTTCCTGTCAAAGTCATTCAAGCTTTCCGGAAACTGCTTCTGCCCGGATTTATCTCATCTCGATTTTTTATTCGGATTTTGTTAAATGTGTACATTGGTGGCAAATACCATGGATCTATCATGCTAGCAGAATTTGATGTACCCACTCAATTTGATGAAATGAGCAAGATTGTAACAATAGCAAGGATGATGTTGAACGTTAAGGTAAGCTGGCAAATTCGCTTTAACATTTCATTCATTATTTTTTAACGTTATTTTTTTGTGCAGAATATTTTCAAGCAAACCATAAAAACCTTCACTTTGATGGAGGAAGCTTCCAAGAAGAAGAAACACT